ATTTAGCCCCCCCCCCCCTCTTCTATGCATGGTTCTCACATAATAGGCCCGTCAAAGTTTTTGGCCTGAAAACTGCTAACTCGGAAACCAGAAAAATTGAGAAGCTGAAATTTTAACGAGACGCTCCCTGTCCGAGTACCACGTAGTTGCACAATCAACTTCCTGAACTTTGAGGATCAGTATTTCATAAATTCTAGTTGTTGGCATTCCAAGTAATCTTACTACAACATAAAATACCGCGGAAACACATGATCGCACGAACCTGCCCGCTGCATTCCAGTCTGGGTTGCATTTGCATGTAAGCAAAAACGCATAACTACTCATGCAGTTAAAGACTTGAGTACTCCAAGTCTGGTGCGAAAAAAATATGATCGCACCGGCAAGCCTGGGTGCATTTCAGTCTGGATGCATTTCCAGATCTACAAAAGCTACAGGGCAGAAACTTTGAGAACTTAATCTACACGCAGGTATGGTCCCCAGTCCCCAAAGTGGGTACTGGGGACCATACCTGCTCCCACGTATGGGCCCGCCAAAGTTTTTGGTGGGTAAGCTGCGCTAACTCGGGAACCGCAAAAGCTAGAAAGCTGAAATTTTGAGAGAATGTTCTCCTCTATGTAAGCCTTAGAGAGTTCAAACCCAGCCCCCAGTGTGCGTTGTTCCCATGTACGGGCCCGTCAAAGTTTTTTGTGGGAAAGTTGCTAATTGGGGAAACTAAAATTTAAAAGGTTGAGATTTTAAGAGAATTTCCCCGGTTCAAATGATTGTCCCTACTTGTGATTTATGCGTACGTGATAACTGAATTTGAAATCGTCAACTCACAAATGAGTGGAGAACATCCTTGTGCAATTTCAGTTCGGTGTCTTGTTTAAACCCTAAATGATCTTTCCGTCTGAATTTTCTTTCAAGTCCCCATACGCAAAATCAATTTTCGTGTACGCTACGTACGCGAAAATTGACTTTGTGTTTGCAGTTTTGCACACGGATTGGAGGTGTCCCCATGAAATTTCGGCTTTTTATCTTTTCCGATCATTTATGTGAAAATTGGCAATCTTTTGCTAATCTATGTGCATAATTACTCTTTCGTTTTTCTTTTCTTCTACTTCTTTTATTAAGCTTCAGCATCTACTAAGAATGGATGATAATTAACTGATGTATTTTTTCTTTGTTTAAGTAGTTAATATTAAATTACTTTTTATCGTCACTGCTTTACACAATACTTTTTTTTCAGATTGAGCACATCTTTTGTTAAAATTAAAATCATGGGGCAGAACAAATGGAATAATCAACGCTGCAGGAGAAATACCCGCTTAGATTACGAAATTCAAGGAAATATTCGCTGGCGGGCGATAGGTTTTCCAGGATGCCCTCTTCGGGAAGGCTCGATGTGAACAAATGCAGCTGCGGGTACAATAACTTTCTTTTTCTATCATAAATTGTAAACTCAACACCAGTGCTGCATGTGAAATCCCAGAGTAGTTTGGTGTGATTGCCTGGAAGCACTACACTTTCCACAAACAGTGTTCCAGCTGGGATGTCCTGAAAAATACGATTTTTATCACATCGCAATGATTTCTTACACGCGCAAAATCCTCGCTCTTAACCCATGATTAGCGTAATCCTTCTATTTCAGTAATTAGCTATTCTATTTGTTCTGAAATGAAAAGACAGAAATATATTAAAATATAAGAAGCCGCCTTAAAAAAAGATTGATTTTTCACCCCCTCTCAATCCGATCCTGAATTTCCAAAACCAAAAGAGAGACCGGAGCATCGTATTCTTGTTTTTTTTAGCCAAAAAGTGTTTCTTCCGATCAGTGCAGTTTTTGAGTTCATCCATTCTTCTATTTCCCTCTTATCCGGTCCTGAATTTGGTTCGTGTTTTTTCCCACAGTTCATATTTGTCAGCTACATTCGGCCTTGTTTTTTTTTGCTTTGGCTCCTACTCGACTTCAGCATTCATTCCAGTTGCTAACTAATTATCTAAAGGCATACAAAACTATAAAATTTCTCTTTTTCTGGTTCTGAAAAAATGCCTGTACAGGAATTTTTGATACACTACTGTTTTTTTTTTTTCGAACTTTCCCAGTTCGTGAGTTTCTCTCGTTTTTTAAGTAAGTAACTAAAAGAAACTTTTCGGCGCGGTTCTGGCCGATTTATTCCTTTTCTTCGATATATTTGATACGGAGTGATGTGATCCTTCGGGACAATTTTCCTCCTGATACTGACGCCAGACTCGTCACCCGGCGGTATGCAGTTCACAAATTCTCCTGGAAGTTTTAAAATAAACATAATGACTAAACGAAAGTCCGCGAGTGCTGCTGACTTTCGGTGACCCTAACTGAGCGACGTGGCAAATGATGCTCCGTTTCGCACTTGTGCAAGCCGAAATCTCCTCGTTTTTTTCAATTTTCGTACTGAAAGGAGCTAATATCCATTGCAGTTGCAAGCGGCACGTTGAGCAGAGGGCTTTGGAATTTTTCCGATACCGGTGAAGAAATAAAGAAGTAAATTTAATCGAAATAAAAAAAGTGAATCCGGCAGTGAAGATACTCTCGAACTGCGTCACCGGCTTGGCGAAACATTATCTTCAACATTTTATGCAATTATTATAAGGGGAAAAAAGAAGTAGTGCACGCTACCGGCATATTCGCGAGGAATAAACCAAGCAGGCAAATCCTTTTGTAGATCTTCATAATTTCCAATAATTTCAATCAATTTCAAGTTCTCTTTGGTTAGAAAGAGCTTTGCTAATTTCCAGAGCATACTGATTATCTTCGGTGGATTCACAAGATAAATTTTTTGCACCATTTCTGGATACCTGCAACAGTCTGCTTATAATAAAAACAGTCAACAAAGATGAATAAGTTCCTTGAAAAATGAAAAAAAGGTCAAAAAGAGAATAGACTACATCTTGAATGGTATGTCGTCCAGGTACTTTGTTTTTCAGGACTTAGTATAATTTTTATGCGTTTTGTGCTGTGTAACAGCAGTACAAAACGCATATTGTTACGGGGTTGTC